AAGTATAAAAGACATTTATAGAAATCCTTCCTAGACCCTTCCAAAATATTACACAGGATGGTCCAAAATTGCTGTATAAAGCCACCATTTCCCTGGTGCAAAATTAAAAAAACTAAAACAAAAAACAAAACACTACAAACAAATGACAGGGTAGTTTCCTGAATGAACACAGATGCCCAAATCCTTGACAGGATGGGAACAAACCAAATTCAACAACACATTAAAACAGTACAATTTTGAGAATCTAATGAATGACCTTACCAGATTGGTCCAAGCCAAGTCAAACACAAGTAGGGTATACCACATTAACATCACAGAGAAAAATTATATATTCACCTCAACAGATAACAAATAGGATTTGACAAAACTCAAATCCTTTCATGATAAAATAATCTCAACAAGTTAGAAAAGGGCAGATTCATCAAGTTAACAGCTACCATCATACTTGATGGCCAAGCCAAGAGCCTCTTCTCTGAGACTAGGAACAAGGATGCTCACTTACACAACTATTCAGTATAGTTCTGGAAATTCTAGCCAGACCAATGAGGGAAGAAAAAGGAAATAGATATTTAAATTTAAAAATAGGAAATACAAATATTCTAATTACAGACAGCATCATCTTCTATATAACAAAACTCAAATATTTCAATAAATTAAGCATGAGAACCAATACAGGAATGAAGAAAATATTTAAGATATAAAATTAACATGTTACACACATGCAGGCAAAGCTTCCATGCACATAAAATATAATAATAAAACAAAAATATAAAATTAGCATGTGAAATTGGTAATATTTTTATAGACTAACAGTGAGCTATATAAAAATGAATCAAGAATAAAACATCAAACATTCTTAGGTATAAATTTAGCCAACAGAGTAAAGGATGTATGCTCTAAAACTAGAAGAGACAAGTGAAAAAAATTGCAAATGTTAGAAATATATGTAAAACTAAGCTGTGTTCATAGATTGCTATAATATTAACATATCCATACTAAAATACATTGATAGGTACATCAGAGAGGCACTTAAGGATAATCTCAACCTGTGTTCCAAGGTCACATGACACATGACAATCATGCCATGGTCATTCAAATCTGGCTCTAGAATGAACTATGTCATATTTTTCTAAGATAAAAAAATTACTACTAAAACTAAAAGTGATTAGTAAAACAAAAGCAACCCTATCAAAAATCAAAATTCATTTCTCATAAAAAAATGGCACTGAAATCCCTGTTCATCAATAGAAACCACTGAATAACCAATCAATCTGAGGAACATAAACAAATATGAGGTCATCACATGACCTATGTCAAAGTAACCTACAAACTAAAATAAGCATAAGCAGTACAATATTGGCACAGAAGATATAGACAGATCAACACGAAGAAACAGAGACCCTGGAAATAAACCTGTGCACTCATAGGTAATGGATTTTGCATAATGTTGCCGAAAATAGATGCTGCACAAGGCTGATTTTTCAGTACTTGGTGTTGAGAAAATGGATATGCCACATGCAAAGAAGAAAAACATGTCACCTCATGTGTAAAACTTTGCTCAAAATGGATAAAGCCTAGACTGTACTGGGGAAGCATTTTGTTACTGGGCCTGTTAAAGATTTCATTGTATTCTTTATTGGAATGACCCCAAAAGTAAAGATAACAGCAGCAAATAAATGCACATAAAATTATAACAAGCTAAAACTCTTTAGCACAGAAAACAATCTACAGAATAAATAAGAGCCTGTGGAGTGGTAGATATCATAATTGAAACTGCTTAGACTATTGATATTAACATATGTCCACACAGTAATTGTGAAAACTGACATCTGTGGATATGTTATTTAGCTTTATTATATCTCTATATAGTATAATCAATAGGAGGGACATACTTTCACCTTGTGAGACAAAGATTTTACATTTAGATAGTTCCTGGCAGAGGTAGCCTGATTTATAAACAGTTCTATAACAGGGATGGATTAATTCTTTCCAAATGAATATTAAAATTGTTTATTTCAAGTTTCCTTTTCAAAAAAAAAAAAGAAAATACATTTATGCAGTAAAAGAAAAATAAGAAAGCTTGTCAATGAACACTCCCAATCTGTTACTTAGCCACTGAGCCCATATCTGGTAGTAGTGAGTGATTCTATTTTAAAATATTAAGATACAAAGCCTCTAAGCCTTTGTTTCTAATTCTGACAACACAGCTTCCCACGTTTCATCTGATCTTGGTGGTTGGTCTTAGCCCAATCACATTCACAATTCACACACATGATCATTCAATTCTCTTCAGGTGGGAAAGCCTTGCAAATCACTCCATCTGAAGAAACAGCCCAACCTTCATACTACCTGTAGTGTTTTCCCTCATCATCTCCACAGCACTCTTAGTAGTCTATGTTTTAAATTACTGTACCCTCAAGAATCTGCAGATTTCCTGCACGATGTTATATCTAAACTTCTCTGAAAAATACCTAGTCCATACTGATTGACAAATAAAGCTTGGATGAATAAATAAAGAAAACAACCCACTACAATCCAAATACAGAAATTAATGTAAAGTTGGTTATGGAGCACATTGAAAAATATAAAACTATAAAAGTTTTAAGAAGGAGAATATCTTCAAAGTCTTAGGCTAGGCTAAGTCTTGATGTCAAAAGCAAGACTAACCCAGGAATGCATATGTTCTGAATTAGCCTTCATCAAAATTGAAACCTTTGCCTGAGCAGTCTAAGGGTCCTCATACAGTGGAACCAGGATATATTCCTGGTACACAAAAGGACTTTGCAGGCACATCCCCCATGGAGGGATACTCCCTTAACCTAGAGACAGGAGAGAAGCCCTAGTCCCTACTCCAAAAGACTTGACAGATTTAGATGACCCCTCCTGAAGGGCATCACCCTACATGTGGAGGGGGAGATGGGAGGATGGAGAGAGGGAAATAGGAAGGAAGAGAGGGAGGGAGGAAGAGAGGGAGAGGGAATTGGGATCGATATGTAAAATAAAAGTAAAAAAATAAAATAATTTTAAAAATTTAAACCTTTGATTTCCCATCCTATTAGGAGATTTAAAAATGTAAGCTAAGTGTGGAATAAATCATATATCAGATAAAAAGTACATTTAATAAAATGTAAGAAATATACAAATAGAAAACTTCCAAGGAACATTCAAAATTCAGTGACAGGGCTCAAATAATCCAACTAGAAGAGGAAAGATAGATAAAATCAGATATTTTACTGACAAGGATGTATCAGTAAATAAGCATGTAAAAGAATTTATTGTTGCTCATTGGGAAAATGAAAATTTAACCCACAATGAAGAATCATTCTATACATATCAGAATAAAGAAATAAAAATGTAAATAACATTAAATGCTAACAGTTTCTTTTGAAATTCATCATTCAATTACCACACCTTAGCAATTGGACTCTTGTACAATGATTGAATGTAAATGACACCTTATGTTCGTTCACACAAGAACCTACAGAAATGTTCATAATAGCTGTATTTATAATTGTCAAGAACTGGAAACAGCCCAGATATCTTCCAATGTGTGGAAGATTAAACAAACTTTAGTACATGGAATGCATTCATTACTGACAAGCAATGAACTATGACTACATCAACAACCTGGAAATGTCACTGAGGAATCAGGCTAACTAAAAAAGCCACGGTCAGAGTACATTCTTCTACTTATGCGGCATATTTAATGGAAAATCTGAAAAAAACCAGTCAATCATATCAATATCAATACTTGGTTGTAATACAATACTACAGTGTTGCTAAATGTTGCACTGAGGGAAACAAGGCTGATCCTAGTAGACCTCTTTGTGTTATTTCTTATGAATCTATATTATCTCAGTTAAATGTCAATTTCATAATGATATCAGATAGTATCAACCTGAATCTTGAGTCCTAGTCAAGGAATTTGAACTTGGGAGCAAAAGAAACAGGTTGTAACAGAAGACTCCAGAGATAAGGAGAACAAAAGAGCCAATAGGTTAAATGGTGAATACAATGGACTAAAAATGTTAGGAACTACACAGCAGAGCCCAGGTGAGAGCCCATACTGGAACTACTATGCCACCCAGCTAGGCCAGCCCTCAGCTTGGCACCCTCAGGTTTAATACACACTGACTTTTTAGCTTTGATTTTGTTGTTGTCCTTCTATGTGGGATTTTGTTTGTTTGGTTGGTTTGGTTTGGTTTTGTTGTTTTGGTAATTACACTGCATTTGAGAATCTGGTCATAAACAAGGCATTTTAAGAGTAACGTCATGACACTGAATTTATTCTTCCATTGTATAATTTTAACATTTCACAAGAATGAAGGAAATTATATTTTAATTAAATAAGACAAGAATTCATCAGGAAACAGTTATAATTTTATGAATATAAGCAAAAACAAATATTTGGCATATGTGTGTGTGTGTGTGTCTGTGTGTGTGTGTGTGTGTGTGCGCGCATGCTCACATGTTTATCTTGCCATGCATGCAAAGGTCAGAAGATAATTTGAGTGATCTGGTTCTCTCCTTCCACATGTGGGTGCCATGAATTAAATTTAGGTCATCAGCCTTGGCAATTGCCATGTTTACCAACTGTGACATCTCCAGAGGTTAGTTTTTAAAAAATAATTTTAAGATATTTGAAGATGTGAAAATATATTAGACTTGTGAACTTAATTAATTTTAAATGAATGTTGATAAAATTTTGATTAAATGATTACATTCTATTTTTAAAGGTCTGAAGAAATTTAATTTGTTAATTTTGTATTTCAGTTTATTAGTTTTATAATCAACATTTAAATGCTCAGATAAATATAATTTAATTTATATATTTATATAATTATGATTACAATAAGATGTAGGATTGGAGTCTTTCTCATGCTAAACATTCCCTTTATCCAGCTTCACAGCCTGAGTCTGTCTCTGCCTGGTGTCTCTGTCTATGCAGCCTCTACAAGACTACATCAGGACTGATATAGATCAAGGAGAACCAGACATACCTTATGGGATTGTCCATCCTGGACACTGTGAGGAAAGCAGCAAGGTTGGCTGTGTAGGAGGAGCATACAATGAGGGTGAAGAGCCACCAGCTGCCCATTACAATGCGCATGGCCACAGAGTTCACAGAAGACTCTCCACCTGCAGGATGCAGAGGGGTTAGCTGTGCCTTTCCTCACTCTATCCCCCAACAAGATTCTGCCCTCCTTGGAAGAATCAAAGACTTCTATCACTTGGCACAGGGCACAACTTTTTGTAAAGGAAAAGTTCTTAAAATCACCAACAGGGGGAAATGCCAGAGGATGAAAAAAGGCAAAAGAGTTAGGATTGGAATCTGGTGATGAGAAATTTGTCATTAACACCAAGTCATCCTGCTAGAAGATTCTATCTCATTGTGGCAAGGACTTCCAAGGCTGGTGCTCAATATAAGATCTTTGGCAATTTCCAATTCACATAAGAGTCTACTTAGGAATTCTGTAAATAAAGAATTTCTTCCTACCTGGAGGCCTCCCAACTTTCTTTTAACTCAGAGAAATGAGATTGCCCATACCACTTTTATTAATATTCAGTTCTCATGGGATGATTTTCCCCTCCAGGATTTTTAGAAAGCATTGTGTGCAACATTCAGTGAGAAACTACCTCTTTGTGGCCAATTATTTCTTTTTGATCCCTTAGGTGTGGTAGAAGGAAGGTTCTCCCTCCCTATTCCCCTTATATGACCTTGAAAAGACGTTTCCATGATGCACACAGGGCTGGGGGTCACATTAAGAACTTTTCACTTTGTTTCTGGTCAAAATTGTGCAATCCTGAAATTCACCACTAAATAGAAGTGCTATGAGGCCTCTTGAAGTTGGGAGATTGTACTTCAGGAATAGCTTGAATACTGCTTACAGATTGCTGCTCTATGTTGACATTTATTCAGAGTTCCATTTGACAACCTCATGTACATAGCAATCAATCTAACACGGGCAGGGAGGGAAAAGGGCTGAAATCCAAAGTTAATTTTATCGAAAATGGAGAATCAGGAATGGAAGTTGAGTTCTTTGTTACTTTATTTAATTTCTACCTGATATTACTTGGAAAAACCCAGTGCAGCCTGATTTGGGTACTGTCCTGAGATCAAATAAAATTACATTTAAAACGACTTTAGTGATATGCATCTGAGAATTTTACCAAAGGATAAGCTTTTTTCCTGCCCCCAGGGCTATTCCGACAACAGAAGACTGGGACTGTACCTTGCTGAACAAAAGCTCCATAGACAATCCAGATGGCACTGTGCAGGGTGGCAGAAGCAGAGGGTCGTGGCTGGGCAGCGCTCTGAGCCCTCACAGCCTGGATCCGGTTCAACACGAATATAAGCACACCAACCACGGGGATAGCTGCTGCGATGCAGGCCCATACGGCAAAATCAAAGGGGGCAAAAAGGGAGAAGATGCTGATTTTCTCCTCAGGCTTTTTGATGAGAATCCCTACAGAGTAGTCCATGTATCGCTTGCTGAAGTCCACAACACTCTCCCTCTCTGGGGTGATGGTGATAGCAGAGATGGCCAAGTCTGCTCTCTGAAAGACAAATTCATGGGAGGTAACCTTCAAGCCATTGCTGATTTACACCCTATGCCAGAGGCAATGGGTTTGAGAGCTAACCCCTGAGAATTCAGAGACTATAAGAAAAATTCAACACCATGATGTCTATTACCTTCTTCACCTTATAGATGTCTCTCCCTGGACCTAAAATCTCCTAGAACATTCTTCTGGAAAATAGAATTCAGTAAAGTATCTTCACTTCCTATGAATAACACTTGCTTACATTCCTATTATTTCACCTAGCATACTTTAACTCCTATTTTTTTCTGCCTGTGTTCCATTCAAAAATGTCATAATACTGAAACTTAGCACTAGATAGAAGTGTAATCTAAAAGGGCACAGATACCAACTATTTCTCCAGCAAGCTCCTTCACCTTCTATTAGCCCACATCCATTGGCTATACTTCTAAAATACTTCAGAAGTTAAATTATTGTACAAGTATGTTCAATCTCACAAATGTATTAGTCTTCATTGATTTTTAAAATTTTTATTTATTATTTGTATATGTGTGAGAGAGAAAGAGAAGAAGGAAGGAAGGAAGGAAGGGAGGGAGGAAAGGGTAGCAGAATGGAAGAGATGGGAACGGAAGGGTATGAGTGAAGGCATATGTGTGGAAGACAGAGGACACCTTCAGGTACTGGTTCTCCCCTTCTACCTTAACATGGGCTCTGGAAGTCAAACATAGGCCTTCAGACTAGAGCAGCAAGTATTCTTACTTTCTTCTCTTAAGTGCACACTCTGTGCTAGGGCAGTGGTTCTCAATTTTCCTAATGCTGCAACCGTTTAATACAGTTCCTCATGTTGTGGTGATCCCCAATCATTTCTATTTCACATCTGCAATTTTGCTACTGTTACGAATTTAATGTAAACTTGTTCCTTCTGGTGGTCTTAGGCAAACTCTGTGAAATGGTAATCTGTCCCCCAAGGGACAGAGACCTACAAGTTGAGAACCACTAACCTAGAATAACATGGGGAAATGTTAAAGGCGCTTATGGCAGAACATGTCTGGTTCTTGTCTTCCTTCTCAGGAACCAAAGATCCAGGAATCTCTTTTAAGGTTTTGAGTGTTTGAACCATATTTAAGAGCTGAGAGATAGACTCTCTGATATGGTACAACAGGCACAGGTGCCTGCCACCAAGCCTGCCAACCTGAGTTTGGTCCCGAGGACCCATATTGTGATGAAAAGAAAAGAATTGATTCCTGCAAATTGTCTTCTGGCCTCCATATGGACTCAGTAGTGTATGTGTGAGGGCATACTACATACACTACATACATATGCCACATGCACACGTGCATACACATGTACACACACACACACACACACACACACACAAATAATATTTTTAAAAAGTAAAGTTCAAAAAAGAAGCAATGAGCTGTCAAAGAGATTAAGTTGGAGCAGTGGAGGTTAACAGCATAGGATGGATGAAGTAAGATCTGAGGAGGTACACTGAAACCAACTTAAAATACAGATTCAGGGCTACCTGAGACTAGGGAGAGATATTCCTCCACTAACAATGGAGGCCCTGTATTTATAAGGTGTGTTCCACAACAAGTAGAATTTCAGAAGACTCAATTTATTTCTCAAATATAGAAAGATAACCAGTTTTTCCATTGAGAAGGAAAATAGGTTATTAGGTTTCTTGAGGAGAAGCAGAAAACATTTTAAACATATCTTAGAAATGTAGCTATGGCATTCAACAAAGGAAAATGTCCAACAGTCAAGGATAGAGACCACATACATTCATACAATGATCTGGATAGATCTCTAGATTTCACGTAGAAACCTGGATGTACACTTTGAAAATAGATAATTGGTTCAAACCTTGCATATATCAAGAAATCAAGCACACCAAAAATCATGAAATGAACTATACAAGGGTTTGTGTGGTTGATCACAAGGGGTACACAGGTTAGGAAAGGCTACAATGTCAAAGGGGAACAGAAACATAGGAAATGGCTATATCTCAAATATGTATGCCAGTAGAAGGAACCACACACCAGGGACCATGTATGACATTCCTCCACATAAGCACAATGTTCCCAAATGCAACTCTATGAAGCAGTGGTTCTTAACCTGTAGGTCTCAACTGCCACAGGGGTAGTATATAAAACATCCTTCATACCAGATATCTATGTTATGATTTATAACAGCAGCAAAACTACAGTTATAAAGATGCAATGAAAATAATTTTATGGTTGGGGGTCACCACACTATGAGGAATGGTGTAAAGGGTTGAGAACTGCTGCTATAGAGAAAACAAGATGACTAAGGGATGAGAGTAAGAATGGAATTAACTGAGGGCTGGAGAGATGGCTCAGCGGTTAAGAGCACTGACTGCTCTCCTAAACGACCCAGGTTCAATTCCCAGTACCCACATGGCAGCTCAAAACTCTTTGTAACTCCAGTTCTAGGAGACCCAACACCCATGGCAAAACTCCAATGCACATAAAATAAAAATAAATATATTTAGCCAAGTAGTGGTGGTGCATGCCTTTAATTCCAGCACTCGGGCTGGATCTCTGTCAGTTTCAGGCCAGCCTAGTCTACTTAGTGAGTTCTAGAACCGCCTCCAAAACTACAGAGAAACCTCATTTCAGACAACCAAAAAAAAAAAAAAAAAAAGAATTAACTGTACTAAGAGTGACTACAACAATGGGATAATGGAAGTATTCTAAGACTAGATTACAGTGATACTTGCACAAATTCTGTACAATTACTAAAAATCCTTGTAGTGAAGGTCTAAACTAGGTGATTTTTATAGTATCTGAATTCTACCACAAGAAAGTTTCTTTTACAAAAAATTAATGGAATTTGGCAAGTGTGTCCCTACATAGTCTTAGAGAACAAGATACTGTGTTTCAGAAGAAAGCCTCACACCCACTCAAACAATCAGAAGAGCAACAAGTTGTGCTCATAATGTAGTAAAGATGCTAATAAGATACAGAGGAATGGTGACACAAAAGGTGACCTGAGGTGAGTGAGACAAGGCTCTGTGAGTCCTGGGTTTTCCACAGCAATGTCGGGAATTGTCAAGGTTGATAAAAGCAGTTATTTTAGAGAGGGAATCAGGATTGTAAATACATTGTGGGGAAATGACATAGAGGCCATGATATAAGAGGAACAAGAGTGGGAGATGGTGAATCCTCTTCATTCATTGAGTTTCAATGAGGTTATAGTCTGCAGATGGGAGGAAAGGTAACGATGTGAAACATAAGGTATGTGGGGATGCCACCTCTTCAACACAGGACAAAGCCAACACATGAGCATGTCCATTCACACTTACACACTCACATTTGCATGGATGTATACTGTACTTGTAGTTTATAAAACATGGAGGAAGAAATACTCAGTAGAACTTCTTGGGTGTATGGGGGGAGTGAGTTTCCTATTTCAATCCTAGAATGGAAGTGGTTAATTAAAGGGTGAATTACAGAGAAGGTTTATTACAGGAGGGAGGTTCCAAAGGAATGAGCAATGTATAAGAAGGGGAAAGTCAAGGCTATTGGGGTATGAGAAAATGAAAGAGCATAACAGGCACAGAATGGAAGACAGGGAGGAAAATGATGTTTTGGTGTAGTCCTAAGGACTCAACTATGGAATGGGTCAGATTTAGGTATCTCTTAGAGACATATTGGAATGCCCCACTTTTGGGACCCTGATCCTGGAACTTACCTTGCTAATCAGCTCCCCGATCATCCCATTCCAGGAGGTGTTATGGAGCTGGTGACCATACCTGCCATCAGGGGCCTGGTATATCTCATACTTGAATCCCAGAGCCTTAGCCAATGCATCCAACACATCTATGGAGAACCCTTTGTAACGCTTGGGCTGTCCAAGGATGTTCTCTGCCACCATCACAAAAGGCTCTTCCTGTAGAAAATAGAATGAATATTCTTCAAACCAACAACAGGTTAATTGACATATATTTCCAGGATATTGTTACAGAGATCATTTTGATGAATTATAATATTAGAATGTTCATATAGGGCTGGGGTCATAGCTTAGTGCTAAAGCAAACAGCATATATAAGGCTCTAGGTTCCATTCCCAGCATGAATAATAATGATATTAATAGCAAAAACCATGGTGAAATGTTGGTATTTACCCAATTTATGCCCAGAGACGGCATTCCCTGCCCTTTTCTAAAGCACTTTATGGACAGTCAAGGTACAGTGCACAGGAACAATGCTCCAGGCAGCAGGTCAGCATGGGGCAGCAGGGATTTAATTGTCCTGTGTATTTCTTCCTAGCCTCTATCCTAACCCTCAGACCCCACCATAAAAATGGTCTCTTCCCTTTCCTTCTTCTATAGAATTCATGCTGACATAGGACTCTGTACTTAGGATATGCCATTATTCTAGGGGAGCCACCTAAGAATTATGACACTTTTCACATAGAATAATGCATGGCCATAAAGCTATGTGATATAAGCAGAGAGAAGACAGCATTTCATCTATCATGTGGTACTAGAAAATAAGTGCCCATTAACAGGCCAATGATAATCAAAAGATAAGGAAGGATTAAACCCCAAGATCATGAATCCACAACCATCTAAGTTCACACCTACATACTGCATCTATGCCCTGGGAGGTAGGTGACCATCTAGAAAACATTTCAGCCAGCCACCAACACCATTTCATCTTGTGTGAAATTAAATATGAAAGGGCTGAGGGCAGAGAGCCCCCTGGTAATGCATTGTAATGGAGCTCCTTTAGATAAAAGAAATAGGATTTAAGGCTTATTCATGTTGTACTCATAAGAAATGCAAAGATGTTGCAGGCAAAGGTTCCTGAGTTCCTGAGAGGGAATGAAAAGTTGAGCCATGTCTGGCATGCCACAAAGGGAAACAAAATTTTAAATATAAAAATAAAAATAAATTTAAAAATATTAATCTGAGTCTCACAATTATAACAGTCTATAATTCCAGGAAAACTATGTAGAAAAATTATAACTAATTAACACTTATTCACTGCACACTTATTATCACATTTACCCTCAGCAGTGTTGGGCATTAGGAGAATGTCTTCCCCCTGAGCATCTTTCTGGGAAACCTGACTACTCAGTAGAAGTAGGTCAAGATCCAGGCAGGAGTCAGTAGGAGCCCAGCAACAGTTGACATGAGTGGTCCTCCTATACTATACTCCGGAGATCTACCTACTAGTCCCAGAAGTCCTTGAAGAGACTCTTCCATGTGACCCTCCCTTAGGTTGCCCCACATAATTATTTGAAAACTCAAATGGCCTCTCAACATCCCCTCCTCAATCCTGCATTATCCAGAGAGGAGCATCTGAGTCAGAGACCTGGAAAATGAAGTTCCCAGGACATCCCCATGATCCTACCAAGACAGTCACCACTTTGAGAGTCAGTCCTTGGAGGCGGCTGCCCATGGGCCTCTCCTGCAGACTGCCATTCAAGCCCTTCTCCGAGTCCCATGTCGCCAGCTGTGAAGAAAAATAAAGGAGAGTAAGGGATGGAAATCAGTTATGTAGCTTAGGGACTCCTGTGAAACTAGAATCTGGAATCAGAAAGGCCAACAGCAACAGCCTGGGCTTCTTAGAAACCCAGAGGCATCTCAGAACCATCAAGAGGACAGAACTGCATCAAACAGAAACTTTCACTTCCTCTATCATCTCACCTAGAGCCCCAGATTTCCAAAATCCCCAAAATAAAGCAAATTGGCAGGATTTTGCCTCTGGAGTGAATGTTTATGTCTAATTTTATTCTGTCCTTAATGAAAGTGATGTCACTGTGTGTTCCACAAAGTGTTCTCTCCCCTACCCATGCCTTTCACATTCACTCTGATGGTACCACAATAAGTTAAATTGAGGTAGAATAATAATGCAAATAACAAAAACACAAGTATATTACTTTTCAAGCATGCTGGAGCCTACAACACCAAGAGCTAAGTTCTCTTTGCCTGTTTTTGCTGTAGAATAAGCTCTACAACTTTCTGCCAGTATCTTTATGAGTATGTTTCACAGTCTATTGCATCTCTAATATTATGCTAAGGAGACAGACAGGACTCTGTCTTTGGAACAGTAGAGAAGACAAAAGTGTTTAAGAGTTGCTGCTTTCAGCAACAATGACCAAACCTTTGTGTTGTCAACAAACCCAAACTATGAATTGAAGAGAGACAACAAACATTTCTTGAAGGGACTAAATCAGAACCTTGAGGTCTGGCCATAGGGAATGCTCCCTGAACCACTAGCTTAGCTGTGCACTGGGTTCTTTCATAGGGACTTTTGTGAACACACTAAGACCTTGCTCCATCTGTGGAGATTCTTATTTAATTGGATGCTGGTGGACAAGATATGGATATATTAGTTCTCTTGGTGATTCTAAGACTCAGCAAGGATTGTGAGCCACTGTTATAAATTAAACTGGCAGGTGCCAAACTACAGATGCGTGCAAGTCACATGGCTTTTCTATGTGCTTTCTGTGAGATTATCCATGTCAAAGGAGCTGCAAGGTGCTGCTGCTGTTGCTAGTAATCCATGGATCTCCATTTATATAGCAAGGGGTTAATGGATCAAACAGCTGTAGACAGTACCCACTCTTCATTAGGAAAGAAGCACCTTATATCTCTTTAACTCCAGATACTCCTCTGGCCATGGGCTACTAGGGCCCTAAAGGGACTGCCAAAGCTGCACTTAGGAAATGTCTATTCTCACAGCATTCTCTGGAGTTCTGACACTTAACCCTAATAAGCCACATTTATAGAAGTTGAGAAAACATTCTGAGAGATACCACAACTCTGAGACCTAAACTAAAACCATCAAAATAAGACATACAAAATCAGTCCCATATCCAGCCTAGAAGAAGTTTGGTGTTTCTTTTTATCACTTTGGACTGTGGTGCTATCTTGCTTGTATAAATAAAGCCTGTCTGGGGGGTCAGAGAATGGAGTTTGCCACTAACTAACTTGGAACTGGAATTATAGGAAGTTGTGAACAGCTATGTAGGTTCTGAGAACAGAACCTGGGTCCTTTCCAAGAGCAGCAAGTGCTGTAACTGCCAAGCCATCTCTTCAGCCCCAGCCTTAATTTTTAATAAGCTTCATGAATCTACTGAGTCTGGGTTCTATTTTGGGGAACCACAGTGGGAAATAGCCACATTATTTCCTTCTCTTTGTTTCAGTTCTCAGAGAATGGTACCATTAAACATCCTTGATGTCTTTGATTAGAATTCTGGTAATCTCAATTTATTCTTCACTCCAGCATGCTGTAAGTTAATTAGCAGTGGTGAGGGGCTCTTAGAAGTATATAGCCAGGCTCTAAATTTCACTATTTATTCTCTGGCATGCATACTATTATTTAAGATGGAATTGATATTAGTAGATTTTTGGTCCAATGTAAATGGAGTTCTTAATTGGTCTAGATAATAAAAGGGCAGAGTCAGATATAAAGGGAAATGTTGAGAGATCAGAGAGAAGGAGCAAGCCACAGCACACCTTACCTCCTTAGCATCTCAGCAGACAAGAGAGTTATTTCCTTGTTGTCCCTGCTTATATCCTGTTTCTGCCCAGCTACCTCTCTTCCTGTCTGTACAGACCTCGAGACCTCTATTGTTAGCTAGTGGCAAACTTCATTCACTTACCCCCAGACAGGCTTTATTTGTACAAGCAAGATATCACCACAGATTAAAGCACTTGCCTATATAGACTTTAGCTTGCTTTAACAAGAGCGGCTTTTCAATGTTTATTGATGCTTGCTTTGTTTTCTACCCACAACAAGGCTCTAAGTCTCTAGGCAGCACTACTCTGCCCCAGACTATCACTACAGTTTCCTTATTGGTCCCATTACTACCAACCTTCCTGTAGTTCATCTTCTGTGTGTTGGAACACACCTTTTAAATAAATTACCAGGCCTAGAGTGATGGTTCAGTGGTTAAGAACACTTATACTTTAGTAAGCAATTAGGGTTCAGATTCCAACACCTACATTGCCATTCTTAATTCCAGTTCCAGGAGATCCAATGCTCTCTTCCATATTTCATGGGTGCCAGGCATGCATATGGTACACAGATATACATGCTAGCAAAAATACTTATATGCATAAAATACATCTTTAAAATATTTCAAAACAAATCAAATCACAAAGTATGTAAATTATCATTTTCTAATAAATTCTCATTTCCTACAGAGTCACTTAAAATTTTTGTGTCTGGTCCAAAAGAATGGCTTTCCCAACCCCAAGCCCAATCTAACTTTCAGACCACTCAGTTTGAACAGCCATGTATTCTCTGACCCCAGGAATTCTACTCAATGCCACACTCATCATGTGCCCTCCTGAACTACATGTTCAATTCTTTTTGTCCAGGATGCTATTTCCTTCCTTCTGAGTCTGATAAATTATGACTCATTTTTTTAAAAACACTTTAGAATAGCTTTAGAATAACAGAAAAGGTGTAGAGCTTACACTAATCATTTCCAACACCCATCTCCCATGATATTAAGGTGCAAACATACCATGCATTATTATCATATATTAGTATGCTACATTCATCACAACTATTTAATGTTTGTGAGAGTTCCCAGGATGTATGCAAAGCTGCACTAAAAGTGGTCCCCAGAGCCTTATACTCAGGATAAGTACCTGGGGCAGTGGTGGGACCTGATTTCTCTCTCTACTCTCTGGGACCATAAGCTGCAGCTGCCCTTGCTCATTCCCATCACTTAGTTCCAACATTGCCTCAGACACCACTGCAATCTCCTTTCCATCACCAACTGTTATAACTGCTGTAAATCTGGAGAAGATGGGAGCTTGAAGGTATATGATTACCAGGTTTTATGAATTAGCCATGTATTGTAGCTGTTTTCACCATTTACCTGGATGACTTCAGAGCACTTGAGACATAGAAGGTCGTCAATGAATTATTTGCTTAATATATTCACTCAGATTCCATTTTCTTACTTATAAAACAGAATACATTTCTTTTGCAAGCCTACCAAGTTGAGAGGCTGGTAAAGGAATAAAATAGGTTTGAAATAACCTATCAAAAACAGCTTAACTGACAATCACCACCGGGTTATAAACCTGCTTCATATAACCTGAACTATGTTTACAAAAAAGTATTGATAAAATGGAACAAAGTATGTTAAAATGTGTGTGTTGCATGTATATGTTACATGTAGGCAGAGTAATAGTGAACAGTCATTATTACCTGTTTTATGCTCATCTTCACTTTAATAGGATTTCCACTACTTTAGCAGGAAGGGAAAGGACTTTTAGATAAACAATAACGAGCACAGTGATTAAATAAAATTCTATCACATGCTCTTCTGGGAACTGAAAGTCAAAGGTACATCTAGACACTTACCTATGATTAAGTTAAGTCCATTCTAAAACAAATAACCAAATATATCCATGTTCTAGCTACAAAGAACTATGGGCAGGGGGCTCCCTCATCCCCTAGAGTATGTATACTGCTAACTTTAACATTGTCTCATATTCTAAGACTCCATGTTAGAGTAAGGCCTCTTTTAAACTTGGAGGGTCTGGAGACAGAGAAGTAGCCACAGGTGAGGTCAAGTTCATGAATACAGGAAATCCTTCTCTATTAAGAAAGCAGGATGAAATTGACCATTTTTGTTAGTAATCAAATCTGATGGAAGAATATTTAAATCAAGGTAGACATCATAAGAAAAGAAAATGAAAAAAAAAAACTTTCTAAACCTGATGTCATCCTTATATTTGGTTCTGAAAGTGCCCAGGACTTAACAGGTTTTTTTTTTGTTTTGTTTTCTTTTATTTTAACACCAACTTTCTCTCTTTGGCCTGTAGGCATCCTGTAGTCTGCAAAGGAAGAACTACTTCAAAGTGAAACACAAATTCTGACTTTCAAACACATCAAAGTGCAACTATGTTCCAGGATTCAGGATCCTTCGTGTTGGGCAAGAAAGCTTATTATTCTCTCAGATGAGGCTAGAGCCCAGTGCCCACGGCTGGTAACTATTTCCACAAAGCTATGTGTTCTTGCCCCAATCTTAAGAAGAGAGTTGGAGTTTTCCACAATTTCTGAGAGAGGCAATGTCTCAGAACACACTATCTACAAGGCCATGACAGATCAAGATACTTCCAATGAAAGAACCCAATAGAATTTAAAAATAATTCCCAAACTTGCAGCCAGTCAACTTAGGAGGGGACTGTTCCCCCACCTCCACCCTGAGGGCATCTGATGTTCCCTGATCAGAATGTCTCAGTCAGTAAGAACCAAATGAGGCTGATAAAGTTGATAAATGGGAAGTCAGAAAAGCTTTTTACTTAAGAAGCCCTGACACTTAGTTACACAGCTCCAGACCATTTCATTTGTACCTAAGTACATCGACTGCATTTTGTGGACAGGGTTTTGTTTATGGGGCAGATGGATTGATGGTCATAGACACCCATTTTTGACAGCTGACCTGTCAAGATTAGTGCCTGAAAAACTAATTTCCAGCACTG